ATTTATATTAGAAAGGTTAGGGGATTACTGATCCCTTGTTTAAACCATGAATGATCAGAAATAGTAGAGAATTTTAAAAATCTGAATGATAGAAAGCAGTTCTTGGATAAATTAATTAATAACAATAATGCTTTGTTATGAAATGAGGATAATTGACCATTGATACAATAATTTTTATCAGTGCTAAACCACTTAACAGATAGTACTTGAACTTACAATCATTCATCTAACAACTGTTCAAAGTTACAATAACACTGAAAAAGTGACTTATCTGTTGCAGCAACCCCTGTCTTGTGATTGGATGTTCGACAACCAATTTGTATTTATGATAGTTGCAGCATCCTGGGTTCATATAATCTCCATTTATATCAGCTGAAGTCACATGATGCTTGCTTAGCAACTGCATTGCTTTAGAACAAATTTTCTAGTCCCACTTTTTGTAAGTTGAGGACTACTTCTAGTCGGCCCGGTGGTTGGGGACCCCTGTACTATAAAACAAGTAGTCTTGCTGTTAGCAACTAATTTATGTGCGTGTTGATCAGGGGTGGGATCCTACTGCATAACAACTGGTTCGGTGTCAGCTACTCTTTGGAACTACCAGTTCTATAGAACAGGGCCAAACCAGTAGAATCCCACCTCTGGTGTTGCTCATTTGTCTATATCAAAGGTCTTCAAACTTGGCAAGTTTAAGACCTGTGGACTTCAACTCCCAGAATTCCTGAGCTAACATGACTGGATGAGGAATTCTGAGAGTTGAAGTCCACAGGTCTTAAAGCTGTGAAGCTGGTCTATATGTTATGCTTCTAGGTTAACTACCTAGTCATTATAAGGTTAAGGTTCCAAAACTATATTCTAGGAAATACAGCTGGGACCAGAATTTTTGTTGCTAAGCAAGGCACAGTTGTTAAAGTGGATTGTGCCTGATTTTATGACCCATTTGTCACATTGTTAAATGAATCGCTGCAGTTGTTAGGTGGATCATATGATTGTTAAGTGAATCCTGCTCCTGCCATTGACTGCTTATTGGAAGCCAGCTGGGATTTCACAAATAATGATCACATGGCCTCTCTGTTATATTAGATCCTAAATAGCCATAAATAGGTGTTTAATAGAGCCTGATAAATGAATAATAGAAATTATTTTGTGTTCTATAATATGTTGATTAAATATAGAATCAGTTTAATGTCATGGTTAAAGCATCAAGCTAGAAACCAAGAGATGTGAGTTTACACACAAAGCCAATAACTTCGAGCTGGTCATTTTCTCAGGACTAGGAAGGAGGCAGACTGCTTCTGAAAAACCTTGCCAAGAAAACCACAGGAACTTGTCCAGGCAGTCTCCCAAGAATTGGACACAATCAGAAGAAAAATCTTTGTATACTGTTGTACATTTTCTTTGTGAATTATCAGCTTCAAAGATAAACATAATTGTGTTGCTTCATCAGAAATGGGTGTGGTCTAACATTTCAAAGGTTAGGCATATTTTTACTTCCTGTTGTCTTTGCTACATTAATTGTTATGTTTAATACTCAGAGGCTAGTTTTCTGAATCTTAATTCAGTAGAACATGTTTAAATTAGTTAACCTGAGGGACAACTAGAAAACAAATGAAGCTGCTTTCGTTCTACTTTCTAGCATAACTAGGAAAAAATCACAAGCATAGTACAATATATGCTATTGAATATAAAATAGCCCAATTCTGATTGGATTACTATTTATATAAATTTTTTTTATCCTTTAAGAACCACAGAATTTTTTTATTTTCTTGAAAGATCTGTACAGTAATAAAAATGTACTTCATTATATTTTATATTAAATATGCAATATTATATGATCAGAGATGTTCAATATTTCATAAATGAGTATTTGTAATATATAATGAAGGAAGTGTAATAGAGTAACTGGCAGGAGCTGGTATTTTATTAAGGCATTCCTCATTAACCTGGCTTGCATTAAAAGAATACCAAAATGGAGAATCCAGAAGAATGGTAAGAACAAAGAGAAATACATTACGGTGAACAACCTCCATCAAATCATCAAACCAAAGTTTACACTATCAAAACCTAGCATCTTGGCTATCGTGGCAAGAATATAGTACCTGCGATCCAGACTGAGATACTATTAGATTAATTAATATTAATATGGGTCATCATTGATGTTAGAGTGAGTGAAATTGAGGAACAATCAAGTTGCACATCACAAATACAGCAAAAACATTTCTTCAGATTCGCCTCTTTACATTAGCATCATTCATTCCATAATTATTTAATTTAAAGAAAAAGTATTTACCATTTTAAAATGGTAATGATCTAGTTTAGGAAGTTTGAAGTTCAGAAAAGAGTACAATAAGAACAGAATATACAGATAATCCTTGACTTAAGACCACAGTTTATGTTGCTAAGTGAGAAATTTGTTAAGTGAGTTTTACTCCATTTACAACTTTTCTTGCCACATTTGTTAAATGAATCACTGCAGTTGTTAACTTAGTAACATGGTTGTTAAATGAATTAGGCTTCCCTATTGACTTTGCTCATCAGAGGTTTGCAAAAGGTGATCACATGACCCCAGAACACTAACCATCGCAAATATGAAACAGTTGTCAAGCATCCATATGTAAATCACATGACCATGGGAATGATGCAATAGTCATAAGTGTGAAAAATGGTCTTAACTATTTTTCAGCGCCATTGTAACTTCAAACGATCACTAAATGAATGGTTGTAAGTCGAGGAGTACCTGTAGTGCATGTCTATCTCTGCATCTTTCAGGATTTTCCCTTATGTTTATTTGAAAGTGTTGTGATGTAATATATTTTTCAGGAAACCATGGAGACATTAATTCACTTAACTGGAACCTTAGGTGGAGTTTGTTTGAAAGATATATCATTAATACACCACACCACTATAAACAATTCTGCAAACAAACAGTTTTCCTCTGTCCATATTTAAAATGGGAAATATCCCCCCTCCCATTATGTTGTTTACTTTTTTGAAGAAAAAAAATATGGCTGTAGCTGCACGTAAGCACATATCTGGAAAATTAACATTGTCAACTAATGCAGTTGGAAGAGGTTAGAATTTTACTGAAGAATCAAATTGCAAATGTTTTTATTTGAAATATTTTTGAAAATTCCTTAATATTTAGTAAATCAACATTGAAACTTGCAGTTATTGTATAGTAAATCCTCCAGGTACTTTTACGGTAATCAAAAGAAATATATATTCCAATTTCAAGGCTAAAATATAAAATTTGAAAATTGCATTTTTACTCCCACTTAAGTAGCAATAGTTTAATTAGAAGCACATGGAGCTATTTAGTGCCTTATCTGGTGAAAAGGTTTCTCAGCTCCAGCTCAGGACTGAAATTTGGACTACATTTGTGAAACTTAAAACTTTAAAGATTTTATATAGGTGATTATTGTAATTTACAGTGTTATAACCCTTATCTTTTTTATAGTTATGCTAAACATGATATCACTTGATAAACTAGTTGCTTTCTAGAAAATCCTTTCTTTAGAAACTTGGAATATAATCTGTTTTCTTCTCTCTCCTGAAATATGTATAGTTTCATAAAGGTAGCATTGTAAAGCTCATTAGATTTCAGTAGTGTTCAGTATGATGGGATAAAAATACATTGCTTAAAGGCATAATTTATTTCGTAAAGGGAAAAAAGGGTTGTTTTGTTGAGCATTGTATATTTTATTTAGCTTTTATTGTTTGAAGTTCTGTAAAACAAGACAGGATATAGAGTAGTGGATAGAATGTTGGAGTTAGAATAGTACATAGAATAGTACAGGTGATACATATTTGCTCGCCTTTTTTATGGAACCAATTTCTATCTTCTGCCTTAATAGCCTTGATCCAAAAATGTTTTCTATTTTACATATGTTACAAGGTGTCCATGTAATTCCATCTAAGTAGCTGCAGAGGCCAATATAATATTTAATCTTTTTAGATTTTTAGGAGCCTTCAAGGCTAAGATATGGAAGTGAATGAACACCTGATCTTAAGTAACTGTTTTGATGATCTCCAAGTTTGCTCAAATTGTTTTGCATTTCTTTATTTGCAAATGGCTACTCTTCTTTCACTTTCTGGATTATGTTGTGTTTTCATATCACATTTTGATCTGGACTTGAAGCTTGAATGTGATTTTTAAAACATAATATCAATTATTATAATTTCTCCTCATCTACCGAATGTACTGAGTCTAATAGGAAAGAAGATGAAGGAAAGTGGCATTTCTTCTTTAGATATATTGATATGTATTTCTTCCAGAGACATAATTATTTTGGAATTTCCCCCCATCAAAGTTAGTAGGAAGAAAAAGTGATGGCAGAAATAAGATGGTCAGAAACATGCATAACTGCTTTTGTTGTATAATATTACTGCCCAAAATCTAATTTTATTGTTCGTAACATAGTTCAGTAGTTTTCAGATATTATATAAATAAGGATTCTCATGTGCATTAAGTTGTCTTTTGAGGAGTTCTGTTGGTGGTAAGAAATAGTGGGTCTTATAGAACACCCAATTTACATGTCTTTGATTAGCCTATTATGACTCTTCATTGTACTTTTAGTATACTCATTCCCCTAGGTGTTAGTGGCAGGTGAACCATCTTCAAGTAGACTGCTGTTTTGTTTTACCAGTAAGAAGCATTTAGAAAGCCTTGAGAGTAATCTATGTGGTACACAACAAAGTTCTCAAGGTTAATTTTGGCAATCTTGCTTAAGTTTTAAGTTTAGAATTTTGTATTGGATTTTATTTTTTGTACCTGGTGAACTGAATTTTGTAATCACCAAGAATTCATGTCCAGTGCATTAAAATATACAGCACACATTATCTTACTGAAATGATGCATGGGAAAATAAATTTTATGAATTATAAATGTTAGTATTTTTTTCTGGATTAAGAAAAATGAGGTAGCTATTTATGTAACATAAAATGTGATTTTGTATTAATATTTCATGTCTTCAGTTAAGTTTCTTTTATTTTTCTGCCACTAGAAACATGACAACTGAAAAGAGTTTAGTGGCAGAGTCTGAGACTCCTAAACAGCAGCCCCCAAAGGAGGAGGAGGTAGTTGCTGAAACTGATCCCCAGGAATCTTTTGTGGAGAAAGCACCCGAGGGGGATAATCCATCCAAGAAGAAGCTGAAAGCATCCAATGGTGACACACCCACCCAAGAGGACCAGAGTAAGAACAAAGAATGCAGTTCTGAAACTCGTGGCCTGTCACGCTTATTTTCATCACTCCTCAAGAGACCCAAATCTCAGGTATCAGAGGAAGAAGGCAACGGGGCAGGAACAAAAGAATTTGGTGAAGGACACGAGAAAGAGGCTGATATAGAAGCTGATCTCAATGAAGAGATTTTGCTGAAAGCCCCAATAGCAGCTCCTGAACCTGAACTTAAGACTGATCCATCTTTAGATCTTCACTCACTCAGCAGTGCAGAAACTCAGGTAAATATCATGTAAATGTAGTATTTTCTAGCTGCTTAGATTTCTAGGGAGATTCTTCCTAATATTGTGCATATGACTTTAATTTAATATAGTTTATTTAGTAACTTAGTTTAATATAACTAAAACAGAATATATTTTTAGTGGGACTTTCATGGATTTTATTCCCATGAAAATATAAATGCTCTATTACACCAATATTGAAAAAACTATATTGTCTTCCAGTTCCAATTCAAGGTGCACAAAGCCTCACAAAGCTTGTGTCAAAGATAGTTGCAGTTGTCCCCATCCTGTTTTAAATTCTGCCTTTAACATGGGTATGTCTTATCATCCACAAAATGTCTGCTTTTCCAGTGATCCAGCCATAATTGAAAACGAACTGCTTCTGGAGTTGAGGCATACCCCTCATTTGCATAGGGATTTTGGATACTTTTTATGCTGTTGCCTTATGGTTTTTACGGATTATGTGGGTGCCTCTTAGAGCCATTTGGCAGTAGGTAGCATGTAAAATAATTAGTCCAAGCTTTACAACTTAATTTTGAAGTTTATTTAACTAGGTTCAAGTTGGGAAGTGTTTCACACTTTTAAGGTATAATTTATGGACGATGTATTTTGTTACATTTAAAATTATATCGGAAACTAGCAGCTTTAAAGTAGCAATTCCCAGCATATGCATGTATCCTTTTATTTAAATAAATCTCCCTCCTCCCCCAATGCAGGTTGTAAATTTCAGCTAGTTTCCTGGTTTTAAAAAAGTTTCACTTATCAAGTATTTAAAGTAATAAACATTTATAAAATACAAACACAAACACATATTACAGGGAAATTTTTTTATTTATGTTAGAATATTTTAATGATTTCAGCCTGCCCAAGAGGATAGGAGAGAAGATCAGGACCAAGATCCAGAGAACATAGATCTTGAAATTAAGGAAGAAAAGGAGCAGGTGGAGTGTTCCAATACAGGTGAAAAAAAAGAAAACAAGGGAAAGGTGGAAAAAGAATTAAAAAGTGCTCCCAAAACTGTAAGAAGACCCCGAAATAGCATGCATTGCAAGATTACCTTACTGGATGATGCCATTTTTGAGTGTTCTGTAGACGTAAGTATATATGTTATTGATTGTTTGTCTGAATTGTAAACCTGTATTAAAACTAATATGGAGGGGGGGGAATGTGATTGTCCTGATCCATTGTATCTTTTTGAAATGGTAGAACACCCTATTTTTCTCTATAGTAGCCTAAACAAATCTATCCTATCTTTAAATTACAAAGTTCATTTTTAAAAAATTGCACTCATAAAATAAGGAACTTATTTTATGAGGAATTAGTACTTTATAATTGGCCCCAGGAATCTGATTAGCTTTTTTTTTTTTTAGCAATCAGTGGGTTTTTATGTTTGATATGTTGTCAGGAATGAATGACATTGTGGGTAAGGTGAAGAGATTTGATATTGGTATGAGAGGAACTGATTGGAATATACAACAGGCATCTTTGACTCTTGCTAAAAACATAGTTGTTGCACCTTTAAAGTTATGAATAATAGAAGTTGCATGTGATACACCACCTTGTCCCTTTTGCTTGACTGTTATGTAGTAGATTGGGAATTAAGTACTACTATTCTTTTTAAAAGTTTACTGGTATATTGAGTCACTAATTAAACCTAAATGCATGTTTATGGCCAAGTTGTATTTCTGTAGCTGATTGAGCAAAATAGGTGTTTTAATTGACTTAACATGTTTTAGTCAGTATATGAATGTTACATTATTATAAAGGTGATATTAAAATATTGCTATTAATATTATTTTACCCAGTAGTTACTTTATGTGTGTGTACCTCTAAAGTGTAGTCTTTCATTCTACATGTAGAGAATGGAAGTTGAACAAAAATGCAAATTTTAGGGATTCTTTTTTCATACAGGAGGCTCAGGGTAAAATTGTGATTTCACTGCTTTGGATTCTACATTCCTTCTGTATCATCTTTGATTAAAGATCCTAGGTTGAAGTCCCTGGAGAACTGCTGCTAGCAGGGAAGACAACAGGCTGATGATATAAAGCAGCTTTTTATATCCTTTCAGCCTGACATCTGTTTGTGAGCTGGGAGGGAAAGGCTTGCTAATGCTTGAAGAAAAAAACCTCATCCATCAGTGCCTCAAGCAATGCTCCTATATTGATTTATAATCTTTAGGCTCTAGCAGAAACTTATAGTTTGGCCATCAGCCAAAATAATATTTTTGAAATTGTGGAGAGAAACAGATGAATTAAACCAGCCATAATTCAACTATCTGTTCTGTTCATTTAACTAACTTAGAGGATGGTGATTACTAGAATTTTCATGGGTTTGTTAACAAAATAGGCTGTGCCAGACAAATCATTTTTGTTTGGCTGGATTATTACATCCTTATTTCCCATGCCAATTTACAGTAGCAGTTGTGGAAATCCCAGTTGCCATTGTAAAGTGAATCCTGCAGAGTTGCAGCATCTGGGGGTCATATGCTTGCCATTTGCAACCTCTTGATAGCTTCTCCAATGACTGCTTCTTGGAAGCTAGTAGTGAAGATAATCACTGATTGTGAGATACTGTGAACATCAAGTGCGAGTAAGTTGCCAACTGCCCAACTCTACCCATGATTACTGAAACACTGTGGCATTGTGGAAGCCTAGTTGCAACTATGAGAATCTGCCTTAAGTGGCTCTTGTTCAGTTCTGTCATAACTTTGAATGGTCATTGAACGATGGTTGTTCCAACGAAGACTACCTAAAGTGTGCTTCGACTTCAGTTAGACATTTAATAAACTTGACCATATATATATTGACTGCCCATCTTACCACACGGTAACTCACTACAAGATTCACAATTGGTTGAATATCTACCTAACATAAGATGAAAGGTATGCAAAGTTAAGAGAATTGCTAACATTTCAGAAGATAGGATCAAGGTTCAGAAGGAACTGATATACTTGAACATTGAGCCCTGTCCAACAAAATGTTGCTCAGTGATAAAAAAATGTAAGATTTTGAACCTTAGTAAAGAAAACTAGGTGCACAGGTACAAAATGGATGGTACTTGGCCAAACAGTACTATTTGTGAGCAGAATTTGAATGTCTTGATAGATCATAAAATAAGCATGACCTAGTGGTGTGCTGCAGCTGTCAAAAGAGCCACTACAGTCTTGCTGTAGCATCAACAGAATTATAATGTCAACCATAGAATTGATTGCTCCACTCTACATTACACTGGTCAGACTGCACCAGTATAGTTGGAATGGAATTATCATTCTTATGACTTTGACGTGGTCAGACGGAATTTAAAATACTGTTTCCATTTTTTGTCACTACAATACAAGAAGAATACAGAGGAATTAGAATACAGAGAAAAGCAAGAAAGATAGGTGACAGGCTTAGACACTATATCCTAAGAAGAACTATTAAAATAATTGGATATGTTTAATTTAAAGAAGAGAAGTCTAAGAGGAAACATGACTGCAGCCTTCCAGTGCTTTAAAGAACTATCCAAGGGAGGAGAGTACAGCTAGTAAATGTTGAAATACTTGATTCTCAATTTTGTGGGTTTTTTTGTTTGTTTGTAAAGGGATATACTTGTATGCCTAGTTATATTTATTTAAGATTTGTTGTTTGTTTGTTTATCTCTTTCTTCTTCCCTCCTTCCCTATTTATATGTCCAAGATTAGAAATTTAGTCTTCACATCTCTTCAGCTTTCTGGCCATTTTTCATGTTTTTGTTTTTCCCCACTTAGGGCCAAAGCTAAAAATACATATTTACTATAATTATCTGTAATTCTCCAACTATTTGTATTTTTTCTACAGAAACATGCCAAAGGACAAGATCTTCTTAAGAAAGTATGTGATCACCTCAACCTTTTGGAAGAGGACTATTTTGGACTGGCCATATGGGATACCCCAACGTCTAAGGTAAGAAAACTTTACACAAAAATGTTCTTCCTAGGGGGGAAGTTAATTTGCTTATTTTGGGGGGGGTAGTAGGGAAGAAGTGAACTTTATCTGGAGAACAAATAGTAAAACGCATGCAACCTGACATTGCTAAATTTGTAGAAACTGGCTCTAACACAGAAAAATACTAAACTGCACATGGAAGGTCTTCTGGGTATATCAGTACCATGGACAGCACCTGCCTCCAGTGACTTCTGATATTTCTGAACAGGCCAATGTACATGCACATACTATACGTATCTACGTATCTACGTATATAGATAGCTTATATAATGGGGAGTTTCAACTTGAAAACTAGAAATTTCAAGGCTTGTAAAATTATAATTCTGCAACAATTAATATTGATAGTCTTCGTGTCTATGTATTTTTTATTTTGCTGTTTCTTTATTTTTCATTTTACTATTGGAAGAAGATTATTTAAGATACTTCCTGTTCATTAGTTTGACTATGTTAACATTTTAGTAATATGTGTAATTGTATTCTATAAACTGAGCTAGCTTTGTACTGTATTAATGCAGCAATAATACATTTTCACATTATGTTATTTTTCAACATTTCAAATGATAAATATTTACTGTTTTCATGTAGACATGGTTGGATGCTGCCAAAGAGATAAAAAAACAGGTTCATGGTAAGTGGATTAAGACTTTTTAATAAAGTGGTAGATATGTATAAATAAAAAGACAACTGAAACCAGATTCCTCAAACAAGTAGCTGTTAAAAAGGATTAGGGTGAAATGCATACAGATCATTCACACAGTCATCAAAAAGTGATGAAAAGAATCAGCAAATATATTAGAAAAATCTGCTTTGTAGTTTATTAATTACAGTAGCTTATTTCTTAAAACTGATTCTACTGTCAAGTATGTTCATTGTGCAGGTATATAATTGCATCATTGGGTTGGAATAAAACTTTCTGAAAATAATTGAAGGATAAAAGTAGTCCAATTCATACTTGTAGTTTAAGATTCACTAAAGCCCCAAATAGAATTTAATCTATGTTTATCCTTCCTTTCTTCCCTTCCTCCCTCCCTAATAAAGGGTGCAGAATAACAATTCAGAATTTAAATCATTTACATCTTAAAATTAACTTGCATCTATAATAAATCATGAGCTCACAATGCACTTGTAGCTTTGTCACTGGGTTCACCCATCACAAGATACCTGGCTTGTTTATTGTTGGCTTAGTTTATTGTGTGAATGCAACAGTTAAAGAGGCAGTTTCACAAATTGGACGGTTAGGCTTGTACACACAAACCGGAGCCTAATCAGAACTTGCTCTCATTCTATCTGGGCAAGTCAGCTGTCAGCTTGCCCAAAGAAAGCAGAAGAAACATGGTTTAGAACAAGCCCAGAGTGTGATATGTTAGGACTCTAACTGTATGTGCACATGGTTTCCATGTGCAAAGCTGAATTTCTATCAGTATTCATTTTTGCTGTGCCAGCTTTATACCCTTGCATTTTATTGAAGGAGACTAAAAGTTTGGATTTATAAGCTTGGATTTATTAGCTACTACTTATAGCAGTGGTCTGTAATAGACAGTCCTGTTTGGCACCCCACTTGCTCGGGATCAATTACTTCATCATTTACTATTCAGATATATACTCTGGTGTATAGATACCTAGCATATAATTTGCTATTGATGTTCAATAGGCTAATTAACCTATAATTAGGTGAGTCATTCTTGTCATGCTTTTTATATAAAGAAACAATTATTGCTACCCTCAGTTCTCTGAGTTCTTAGCTGTGCAGTTAATATATGAAAAGAGAGTGGCCAGTATTGGTACCCTTCAGAGTTATATTTAATTACCTTGGAAATAATACAATTACATCCCGGAGTTTTACCACACTTAAGTTGATTAATAATATTTTTTACTTCTTTGGATATTACTGGGGACCATTGGGGCAGAGGCACATCAGTCATGTAGCTGTTAGCATGAGAATCATAATACAAGGCTTGCAGATAGCATATGCAGGTATTGAAGGGAATATAGTGCATTTGGGTGACATTGTGGGAACAATTCGTCATAATATATCGGTGGTTTTTGACTTTGAAGCTTTGATTAGCTATGACCATTTTTTTTTCTTCTGACCAAGGAGTTTTCCCTCCTTTTCTGAGGAAACAGCACAGTTTTAGCATCCTGAGCAGCATGGTGGCCTAGAGGTGAAGATGCTCACTTCTCATTTGGAAGTTTGAGAGATCAATCCTAGGCAGTGACAGATGTTACCAGGGTGTAAAGAGAAAATATCTGCTGCAAACACCACGTAGGTGTCAGGAAGGGCAGCTGGCCAGTAAACACTCAGCTCCATTCAGTTGCCCCCATTCTGAATAAAGGGATTATAGGGTTGTAAAAAGAAAAAAAAAAGTACAGTTTTAGCAGCAATGTAGCATTTGTCATACTAGTTCTTGGAATGGTGACCCCTCCAATTTGGATTGGTCTTTTAATTTTCCTTACAAAAGATCGGAGTCTATAGTTAGCCGATGATATACATTTGGTTGACTCCTTGATGGTGATTTTGTTTTAACTATTAGGAATTGAAGTTGTGATATTACAGCTGGTAGGAATAGGATTAAGGTATGTTTTTTAAAGGCAGATAAATTCTAGGTCTGTTTTGCTGTAATTTATTTTTGGCCTATAATACAATGGAGAAATTTTGATTGTAATGTTTATGTTTATAATGTATTGCTTCTATATCTTCTGAATGAATTACAGCAAAATTTGTAGAAATGAATTCTGCCAAGGAGGAATGGAGATCTTCAGATCTTTTTCAGTGTCTGTTAGTCCTTCAATCAATTGATGATAAGAATGATAATTTAACAATTTGCCGACTATTGCAAATTAACCAAAAATATCTCTTTAATTTCAGGTGGTCCATGGATTTTCACTTTCAATGTCAAATTTTATCCTCCAGACCCAGCACAATTAACAGAAGATATAACAAGGTTTGTGATATCCTTAAACCACTATTTCTTAACCTTGACAGCTTTAAAGATTTGTGAATTTCAACTCTTCCCTTAGCAGCATGCTGACTGGTGTATTCTGGGGATTGAAATCCACACATCTTAAAAGTTTCTAAGATCAAGTAGCACAATCTTAAACTAATAGAAAATGCATTTCAAAGGTTTATTAGTACAAAAAATAAGAAACATAAAATTAAAATACTTTATTTTTACTTATATAAATAAAATATATAAGAGGAGTTTTAACTAGTGCTCCTAATTCTGCAGGAAAAGATGTGATCAGGACACAATGATAAAGGAATAGGTAAAACAATTTAATGAGCCCATCAGTCTTTGGAAGACAGATATAGTGTTGGTTTAATGGTGAGCTTGGCTTCATTATACATGCCTTATTTGTCCTGTTTTTGTTTTTTTCTTGAGAGAATTATTTTATTTTTGTATTCTGACAATTCATCATCTGCAAATAACACAGAAGAAAATAATATTCTGCTACATAATGCTGATCTTGTGCTAGTTCCATAAGGTACAGAGTGAGCAACTTTATCTTTTTTCATGCATATGCCAAAAACAAGTAATATTTGGTTTTAGGAAGCTTTTTTTAAAAAACTGAAATAAAATCCATCTGGTGGGTTTTTTTAATTAGACAAGTTGAATTGTTTTAGTTGCAAGTGAAGAAGTGCTTTTGTAGTTCTAGTCATTGCTGAGTGTTGATGCAATTGAATCTTTGAACTCCTTGGTGTGGTGTTTGTGTTTTGCAGGTATTATTTGTGTCTCCAGCTAAGAAAAGATATTATTAATGGGCGGCTTCCTTGCTCCTTCGCTACGTTAGCTTTGCTGGGTTCTTATACAATCCAATCTGAGTTAGGAGACTATGATATAGATCTGCATGGTGCGGATTATGTCAGTGAATTTAAACTAGCCCCAAACCAGACAAAAGAACTAGAAGACAAGATCACAGAATTACATAAAACATACAAGTGAGTATTAAACCTGTCATTGATCAAGTGTTGTATAACCAATTAAACTAATGTGTGTGTTCGTGTAAATATGAATATCTTTAAAACATGGTTACGGTGACAATTATTGATATCACTCAGATTACAACATGTCATTATAACTGCCTCTGCAATTATTCTAGAAGTCAAAGTAAATTATTCTTGAAGATTAAAAATTAAAATAAACTTAATACGTTGGGTGAACTCAACTCATTGTGAACAAGTTTAATTACATTTTAATGGTTCATGGTTTCATGGACCCAGGACACCTTCTAAGTGCTGCTAAAATGCCATTTTGGAACATATTTGTTTATAGATCTATGAGTCCAGCTCAGGCTGATATGGAATTTCTTGAGAATGCTAAAAAGCTGTCAATGTATGGAGTTGATCTTCATCAAGCCAAGGTAAAAGAATATATTTGCTTATAATATTTCAAATTTTTATATGTCTTACTTCTATATCACACCCAATTGCAACTCTGGTTGATAAACATAGAACTAAAATCAAACAAATACAACGAGCAAAATAAGAAATTAAAAAAGGAAGTAGTGGTGACCAAAAGTCCGCCCAATTCCAATAACAAGATCAAACAACTTACTGCATTAGATTCACCTAACCTCCAGATTCCGTGTCTGAGGAAGAGGCCAGGTCTTCAAAAAATTTTAAAATACTAGCAGGGTTTAGGATTCTTTGAATTTGGGGTGTGTGGCATTCAAAAGAGCAGATGCTGTAACAGAGAAAGCTTGCTTCCTGAGACCCACCAGATGGCACTATTTAATAGGCAGGCCCCAGAGTATGGGAGATGGGAAGAATCTGTCTTTTAACACACTCTGAATTCCTGCGCACAATCTAACCATACTAATTCTAGCACCCATCTGTCTGTGATCTCGAGTGTTCTAAACAAAAAGAATGTAGAGCTAATTCAGAGAAGGATGGTTTCCCACTGGATGGAAACATTCTGAGCTTTGCCAGAAGAGATAGAATTGGCCCTTTCCATAATGCTGTTTTGTTTTTATGATGCTTCATGTACAAGCCGTGAAACCCTGGATTAAATTTAGGAACTTTAGGGAGGGATTTTGCCTTTGGTGAAAACACTGAAAAACGACTTGACAATTGTGAAGAGAGAGCTTTTATTTTGGGGGGAATATGGTTGAATGAATGTATACAGTTGTGTCTGAAATTAAATTTATACTGTTGGATCAAGGCTAATATAATAAAAAAATGGAACATTTAATGGAAAACTGTATTTGAAGTATATTGAAGAGAATTTGTCAAAAGAACAGTCTATCGAAGAATTAAAAATAACTAATGCAGAGGCCATGGATAGGGTCAAGCATTTTTAATGTGAAGAAGACTTCTGATGAGGAATGGTGCACTAGCACATCTCTGAACAAGAAGAGATGACATCATGACTATGACTGAAGTACTGGTGAATAGACTGGTACCATGGAACCTCTCTGGATAAGGGGAGGAGGAGAGATAGCCTGCTTGGGAGGAATCCACAGAAAAGTGATTTCTTGTGGATTTGAGCACTGGGAAACAAAAGAAAGGCAACACACTCAACTACCGTGGAGCCTTGTAAAGGTTTACCTATTTGTCTTAAGAGTATTAGAGATAAAAAAACTACAAGTTTGCAAAGCTTCCTGTTGAATTTTATCTTCTTTCCAGAATAAAAAAGTTAACTATGAGCTTAGAATTTAAAGGATTTGAAATAAGGAAAGCAAAATAAGACTTTAATCTAAAAGCATTATAAATGAAATAAGGGACCAGACAAATTTGGATTATTAGAAGTTTTGCTATAAGGTTTTGGAAATAATTATAAAAAAATAACTCCTTTGTTGAAGCTAAATTGTGCAACCTACCTTAAGTCGCAACAGAAATGGGAGACTTTATGATTTTAGAAATTGGGCTAGAGGGGATTAAAGATTCTAGACATAAAGGAAAAAGAATAAAGTGAGACAAAATAACAGAAAATAGTATGACATTAGAAATACCCCAGGTAGTGGCTAACCTTTTTGGGCTCCTGTGCCAAAAATTGTGAGCGCGTCAGCATGCCTGAACTCGCGTGCCAACACCCAGAATGCAATGTGCACCTCCTCCCCACCCCCACCCTGGCCATGTGTGCGCAATCCCCACCACCACCCCCTTACTTGCACTGTGCCTCACAGCTGATTTTTCAGCTGGTTTAAGGCCTTTTTTGGCCTCCTGGAGGCTTGGGAAAAGCCTCTGCAAGGCTTCTCAGGCCAAATTATAGGCCTGTTTCGTCAAGTCCAGTAGCCTTGCAAAAGTTTTTTCCAAGCCTCTGGGAGGCCGAAAAAGGCCTCAAACCAACCGGAAAAAAAATCAGCTGTGAGGCATGGGCATGTGCAGTGAGGTAACTTTGCCTGCGGCACGCATGCCATAAGTTCACCATCATGGCCCCAGGAGATATTTCGGCATAAAACTAGCTGTTAAAATATCAGCAATGATTTCTGCCTCTATGGATTTAGTAGTTAGATAATTCATTTGAGTGAATTAAAGATCAAGATTGCTAGAAGCCAAAGGAAGGAGTAAAAAGTTGGTTTGTTCAACCAAAATTAAACTAAGACATGTTTTTATAAAATGGGTATCCTTACAGAGTTTTTGCTGACATCAGGATTGAATTGTTAATGATTTATGAATTTTGAGAATCACCAACTATGTTTGTACTTGTAATGAAGACTGAAAGTCACTTTTTAAATATTTTTTTCTTACCCTTTCCTTTTTTTATCTCTTCCACTTTCTCTTTTTTCTGACTTTAGTTTGTATGATCTTTTATTGCCCACAACAATCTGAGTCTTTTAATTTTTTAATGTTGAAATATTAATGTTTTCAGTGTTGAAATAACATGAATATTATATGCTATTTTCTTTTTTCATAGGACTTGGAAGGTGTAGACATCACTCTAGGAGTCTGTTCCAGTGGTCTTCTTGTCTACAAAGATAAATTGAGAATCAACCGTTTTCCTTGGCCCAAAGTGTTGAAGATTTCTTACAAGCGCAGCAGCTTTTTTATCAAGATCCGGCCTGGTGAGGTAGGCTATGGAGTCATTTTATTTTAGTTCTAATTGAATGCATTTGTCTTCTTATCTTTGGGAAATATTAAGGATAAACTGTTTTTCAAATAACAACTGAATCTGGATAGTGAACAAAAGTTTATCCACGATCATGCATAACTGACTTACTTCCTTTGAGACTTCTTATGAGCAATTGTCTTTGGGCTTGGGTTGAATAATGCAGATGGTTTGAACGTGGCTTTGTTGATTAGAAGCACCTATTACGCTGTGTTGCATTTTATGTTAGACATGCACCAATCTATATCAATGAACACGTCTCGGGTGAATTCAGAGTTCTCGCTCTAATGTGGATATTGCTATTATATCATTTTTGAAGAGTAAAAATCCATTTTAGATTCAGATATATGTTTATGATATACATATTTCTGTTATAATAGCATATTTTACCAGTAAATCTGCACTTGTCAGCATTTAAAAAACATGTCATCTTGTATTGAAATTTGACCAAGTCATGCTGTGATTTTAATGTAAAACCATACTGCATTTTTTTGCTTTGGGAAAATGCTTTTTAAGAATGGAAGTTTGTAATCATTTCAATTAGGTTTGTATCTATTTTAATCTAGTGAAAGGAGCAACTTTTCATAAGTTATTTGATTTGCTAAATGGTAAGAATGCAGTATCCAATTTGCTATAACAATAGCTACATTATGCAATCAAACCATTATAGTTTCAATGCAGCCACATAGTTGAAAGTTTTTAAAAATTATTTTTAGGATTTTACCTTATTTTCTATATTTTTACTAATTTGCTTCCCCCCTCCTATTTTCCCCACAATCATAGTGTGAAGTGAGTTGAGCCAGGAAAGCATGACTGGGTCCCTTTCTTCCCTAGTTCATTTTTAAAAGTGTTTCCCCCTTGGTTTTTTTTCATTTCCTTTGTAATTTGCTTTCTTTAGTTGATGATTGGGTAACTTTTTCAATAGCAGTTTAAATTAAATGAAATTTACTGGCTTTGATCAATGGTTATTTCTTTTTAAAAATCCAATGAAAATATTTTTTAAAATTTAATAATTTAATCCAGTGCATAACTTCTGTGCCAATTAAACTTACTCTTACTATTTTCCACAGCATGAACAATATGAAAGTACTATTGGATTCAAACTTCCTAGTTATCGAGCAGCTAAGAAATTGTGGAAAGTCTGTGTTGAACATCACACATTTTTCAGGTTTGCATTTGTATTTTTCATTGCTGGCTAATTAAGAAATGGTGTTTATAGGTGTACATCTCCTAAATCCACTTCTGATCTGAGCTAGATGAGAACAAGTGTGGTTTCCTACTTCAGACCTCCTTAGTCCTAATTGGCCAAAAGCTAATAGTAGCAGGTGGCTTTGATTTTCCAGTATTTGTCTCTGAAAGTAGGTCAAAATCATTAGCAAAGACTCTTCTTTTGTCCTCACAAGGGATGCACAACCTATCCCAAGCATGGAAGAGCTGGTATTGTTAGTCCTTCTCCTAACCAAGATACAAATAGGGTCAGTCCTCATTGACCACTTGTTCAATGGCCATTCAAACTTACAATGGTGCTAAACAAATAGCAATTAGAACTTAGTAGCCATTGTAGCACCCACGTGGTCATGTGATTGTGATCTGGGTATTTGGCTAACTCATGATTATGCCATTGCAGTTTCTGTCTGTCATGTGATCATGATTTGTGATCTTTCCCACCGGCTTAGGACTAGCAAAGTCAAGAGGGAAGCCAGCAGGAACTTTCAAGTCACTGTTACCTGAAGTCCTCACTTAGCAAGTTGTAGGTCCTCACTTAATGATGGCAACTGGACTGCTGACACACACACAAAATGAAATCATGTGATTTTTCAAGTATTAACATAATTAGGCAAACACTACCTGTATTTCAAATTTTGTCTATTTGTAGAATAAAATTGAACTTTTGTTACTAACAAGCAGTTGCTTCAGGCAGAAGTGGATTGAATGATGGTTGATGGCATAATAATGGGAAATAGTCAAGGACATTGGCTGCTAAGGGAAGAAAAACAGAAGTGCTGGGATGATCAGGAGGCTTGTTCTTTACTGCTGAGACCATAGTAGAAAGTAACAGGTGCAGAGGCCAGTACATTGGCAGCAGGTAGGGGGAGGAGCTCAAAGCTTTGAATAGCATACATTGTTCAAGCGTTATCTATATACGTAAATGAACAACTAAATGTAAACAATGGTGAGCACTATCTTAATTGTATCATTAATTTGTTGTATATAATGTTCCATTACTTCAGAATATATAAGCCTATTTCCAAAGTTTCTCTAAATAAGAAAGCTTTCACCAATCAGACCAAGTATCCTGTACAACCTAATCTGTTCTCTTGAGATTCTTAGTTCTTATATCAAACATTTCCTCCCTTCAGCTAAGCAAAGAAAACTGGAAAGTGGGGGTACTTTAAAATGTCTTGCCCAAAGCCCACAATTACATAATTTAATATAAATTGTGCTTATTTTATTAGGGGAAACTATAGTTCATGAGGAACTTAATGACAAATTCTCTTACTAAACCACTGAAGCCCCCAAAAATATCTTACAAATTGGAAAACAAGATTTTTTTGGGGGTGGTGGTGCAACAATCACATATCCTGCCTGAATGAAGAAAATCTCATTCAGATGTATATTTACCTTTAAAAAGCAGAGTGAATTCTGATCATTTGTTATCTCACAGCTTCACAGCCTTGGGGTTTCAATAGTTGTGAATGGCACTTATAAGTCAATAAAATAATGATACAATTAAGATAGTGCTCATCATTGAGTTGCAGTCATTTTATCTGCATTGGAAACATATCCTTGGGTTGTAAATGAATAACATTAGGATATGTATGTATCTTTTAGATTAACATCAACTGAAGCACTCCCCAAGAGCAGATTCTTGGTGCTGGGTTCTAAATTTCGCTACAGTGGCCGGACACAAGCTCAGACAAGGCAAGCTAGTGCCCTGATAGATCGGCCTGCACCACAGTTTGAACGAACAGCAAGTAAACGTGCTTCAAGAAGCCTTGATGGTGGTGAGTGCCCTAAACTTTTTCCTCTTTACTATAAGTTCCTGTCTTACGTTGGTTCTTTACAGATTCTACTGAGTTGGATTTCGGTAATATTTGCCCTACATGTGTAGTAGTAATTGATTTTTTAAAAAGTGGTATTGGATTTACATGGGAAGTTTGAAAAAATATAGAACTGAAAATGGGCATCTGATTCTTACCATACCCTGATTACCGCAACTCTGTTATTTTGTCATGTTCTTTGGGTCATGAGGAAATAACTTATAATTTCCTGAGTGGGTCATTGTATCTTCTGTTATGTAACGTGAATGCCTCAGGAAAAGACTTCCATGTTGGTGACATAACGTGAAGACAAACCATTTTAAAATGATCATAAAAGTAGCTTTTAAATCTTCCTTAAACTTAACAATGTTTTTTCTAATAGAGCTGCTAACAGTTTTGAATTTTAAGAACTATTTCAAATTTGGAGATAATTTTAACTGAAGCCAGCTGAATATAAAATTGAAGAAACCAACAAAGCAGTTGTATCCATACTAAAATTTAGCAACTTATTTTCTATATACAATGTTTTGTACATTCTTAACACATGCACAATTTCTTCAGCTAAACGTGGCTCTCAAAAAATTCAGTTCAAACTCGTAGAGGAGGAGAAGCAGGAGGATGTGGTGTTGGTTGGGGTTCCGGAATCAGAACCCCTGGAACAATTTCAGGAGAAGCCAGGTATCACTATGGGTAGCACTGATTCTTTCTCTGACCCTGTCTCTGCGGTGCTTTTTCTATCCTTTTGTGAGCTAAGACATCTTACCTAATTCTGAAAGGCTTCACATGTTCTTGGGTATATTTTTCCTCCCAGGAAATTCCCCCCCTCCCCCTCATAAAGGAATAAAACGAGTTCTTCAATGATTGGAACACAAAGCCCCTCCTGTATATTAATACTTGGATTCTTGCATCAACAATAAATCTCAGTTACTTGAGAAAATAGTTTAGTTCTAAGGTGTCAGATGACAGAAGGGGAACCACTTTCCATATTCATTATTGTAAAATAAAAAAGATACTTTGCAAAAGAGTTTTTCAATATCTTTGGCCAGCTGTATTCTTCATTATAGATAGTGTGTAACTGTGATGCTGGAAATATCATTTATGCAGTCCTAAAGTTACATTCAAACTTAGGATATCTGGGGGGGGGGTGTTTCCTGTAATTTAAGCATTATTTTCCATGAGAACTTCATCCTATTTTTAAAAACATTAAGTTTGTCTATAATAGTATAATCTGGCTTGGAAAGCCTCTACAAAGCAAGTTAGATTTCTTCTAACATACATTTAAGACATTGAATTCAGTCTCAGTCTGCTGCTTTCACAATGCTATTTTGTTTTGTCGTCATTCTTAGTGCTAAGACATATTTAGAGCAGTTTGCTAGTTTATTTTAATATTGTTCAGATGAAGTAGGATTATTCTTAGATATTTCCTGTTGTATAATTTAGCCATCTAGTTAGATTTTTGAGAATGGAAATATCAGTTTCTGCATGTATTATTAACATTTCATATTATAAGACTGAAGAAATTTAATGGGAGAACAGTATCCTTTTAAACAAAGCAGGATACTACATATATAAACACATGCGCCTTGTTCTTGTGTGTTCAGGTAACAGAATGGTGACAAGTAGCAACCTTCAAAATTGTAATATGTTGTTAGAACAGTGATTACATTTGCATTCTATCATTTGTACACAGTAGTACTAGTGAATCATTTATCAAGTTGGATAGAGAAAGCAAACAGAATAATTAGGATGTTTATATTTAGATCTAATCTAAAGACAGATTACAAGCTCATGTCATATCTTTGAAGCAGTCACATTTTTTTTCTAGAGCTGAATGACTGCTTCAATAGAAAAAAATGCAGAGCAATGTGCCTGTGCCTGTATTTGCATACAAAAACTAGCTGGGCACAACTGAGTGAGCTTGGAAGAAGAGACAAAATTATATTAAAGTTTGCTCCTAGTAATTCTCTTTTTACTTCTTTGAAGTTTTAAAATGCATTCATAACTTTTATAGCTATACATGTTCTTGACATAAGTACAATAAAAGAAGAGGAGAAAGAAGAAAAATCAGTTGTACAGGATTTAGAACCAAAATCGATATTACTTGAAACAATTCAGGAAGAGTCAGGTACCACAGTAACAACTTCTTATATTTTGTGACTAATATATTTTCCTTAGTGACTAATATTCATTCTTATTTATCTAACAATTCACTAGAGTTATTATAACAATACTTACCAGTAGTATGGCACAAAATAGTACGATAATGGGTAAAGAACTACCAGGAAGCTTAATATATTTATACGATAGACTTCAAATTGTGAACGGGGGCATTCACAATTAAAGCTGCTCTAAAAGAGTTTATGGTTTAGTCCAGTTTTGATAGTATGCATGTTTTCCACTGTTTTCCTCCTCTCTGGAATATTGCCAGGGTGAATGAGCATGAACTAGTAGTGGTAGCATGTAATAAATCCAAACTGAGGGAAAGGAAGTAAAGTACAGGTAGTCTTCCACTTGTCAATCACTTACACCATTTGTTTAATGAAATGTTCAAAGTTAGGTGTCCTTGGTGCTTTCTGAGCTTGGTTGTTTTCTTGCAGACATTCATTACCCAAATAAGGTAAAATCAGCACTGTTACCTAGCTTGGGTAATGAAATGTTCGCAAGAAAACAAGGAAGCCCAGAGAGCACCAAGGGCCCCTCATGTCAACCCTGAGCTATAAATATTCTCCTTTATTATTAAAAGTTACAATGGCACCGAAAAATGTGATTTATGGCCGTTTTTCACACATAATCTGTGCAGCAACTCTGTGGTCTCATTATCAAAATTTGGACACTTGGTAATTGGCATCTACTTATGTAGTCTTCTGGGGTCCTAGGATCACCTTTTGTGACCTAGCAAGCAAAATCAATGGGGGAAGCCAGCTTCACTAAACCATGTTACTAACTTAACAGTGATTCAGTTAACACCTGTGGCAAGAAAGGTTGTGAAAAGGGGCAAAACTCAGTTATTACTTAACAAACTTTGGGCTCAATTGTGGTCCTAAGTTGATGAGTACCTATATACAGTTGTGCTCATAAGTTTACATACCCTGGCAGAATTTATGATTTCTTGGCCATTTTTCAGAGAATATGAATGATAACACAAAAACTTTTCTTTTACTCATGGTTAGTGTATGGGTGAAGCCATTTATTATCAATCAACTGTGTTTAATCTTTTTAAATCATAATGACAACAGAAACTACCCAAATGACCCTGATCAAAAGTTTACATACTCTGGTGATTTTGGCCTGATACCATGCACACAGGTTGGCACAAAGAGGTTTGAATGGCTATTAAAGGTAATCATCCTCACCTGCGATCTGTTTGCTTGTAATTAGTGTGTGTGTGTAAAAGGTCAATGAGTTCCTGGACTCCTGACAGACCTTTGCATCTTTCATCCAGTGCTGCACTGACATTTCTGGCTTCTGAGTCATGGGGAAAGCAAAAGAATTGTCAAAGGATCTGCGGGAAAAGGTAGTTGAACTCTTTAAAATAGGAAAGGGATATAAAAAGATATCCAAGGAATTGAGAATGCCAATCAGCAGTGTTCAAACACTAATCAAGAAGTGGAAAATGAAGATTTCTGTTGAAACCAAACCATGGTCAGGTAAACCAACTAAAATTCCAGCCACAACTGCCAGGAAAATAGTTTGGGATGCAAAGAAAAACCCACAAAGAACTTCAGATGAAATACAGGACTCTCTGAAAACATGTGGTGTGGCTTCTTTCAAGATGCACAATAAGGAGGCACTGGAAGAAAGATGGGCTGCATGATAGAGTCGCCAGAAGAAAGCCATACTATGCAAATGCTACAAAGTATCCCGCTTACAATACGCCAAACAGCACAGAGACAAGCCTCAAACCTTCTGGCACAAAGTCATTTGGAGTGTTGAGACCAAAATTGAGCTTTTTGGCCACAACCATAAACACTACGTTTGGAGAAGAGTCAACAATGCCTATGATGAAAAGTATACCATTCCTACTGTGAAACACGGAGCTGGATCACTGATGGTTTGGGGATGTGTGAGCTACAAAGGCACAGGAAATTTGGTTAGAATTGATGGCAAGGTGAATGCAGCATGTTATCAAAAGATACTGGAGGAAAATTTGCATTCATCAATCCGGAAGCTGCGCATGGGATGTACTTGGACATTCCAACATGACAATGATACTAAAAACAAGGCCAAAATTGACCTGTCATTGGCTACAGCAGAATAAAGTGAAGGTTCTGGAGTGGCCATCTCAGTCTCCTGACCTCAATATCATTGAGCCACTCTGGAGAGATCTCAAACGTGCAGTTCATGCAAGACAGCCCAAAAATTTACAGGAACTGGAGGCTTTTTGCCAGGAAGAATGGGCGATTTTACCATCTGAGAAGATAAAGAGCCTCATCCACGCATACCACAAAAGACTTCAAGCTGTCATTGATGTTAAAGTGGGCAATACACCATATTAAGAACTGGGGTATGTAACCTTTTGATCAGGGTCATTTGGTTAGTTTCTGTTGTCATTATGATTTAAAAAGAATAAACATAGTTGATTGATAATAAATGGCTTCAACCAATCACTAACCATGAGTAAAAGAAAAGTTTTTGTGTCATCATTCATATTCTCTAAAAATGGCCAAGAAATCATAAATTCTGCCAGGGTATGTAAACTTATGAGCATATGTATATGTATATGTTTGGGAATTAGGGAGACTTTAGTCGTGCCAGTTCAGCATTAAAGGACCAAAACAAGATATGGAAGAAATAGTATCAAATATAATTTTTTTAGCTTGAGTAATATCATTTGACGTTGATCAAGTACAGTATACTTGATTAATGAAATGTATACTTCATTTTAAATTAGATTTTGAAAATGTCAAACTTGAGGCAATATAATTTTTTGGATAACATTTTGAATAGTAGTGAGTATGGTAAAATAAATTAATTTGGATGTAGCATGAAGTAATATTGCTACTCATTCTTTTGCTTAGTTTTAGGACCCAGTCTGAATGTATTGTTGCACCTGAGAGGTGATGCAATTTACAGTGTGGAGGTGTCTCACTTAAGAGAGAGAAAGAAGCTATTAAAGTCCATGCAATCGACTTTTTCATACTATTCTCACAACACAGGATATACTTGTGATAATTGCTTTTTAAAAAGCCAGTATTATGATCGGGCCATCCTTTGAAACAAAAATATAAATTTATTTAGTTTAATCTTTATAGTAAAGATTCTATATCTATCAGTAACTCAAGTGGTCTTGTTTTGCATTTATCACTATGATTAACAGCAGTAATTAGGTGGTGATATATTGCCTGTGATAATTATTTGCACCAGTTACCTACTTTCTACAGTGACTCTTGAAATAAGCTTTTTATGGTAGTGTATTGTTGACTAACATTAAATGTGTGGCTCTTGGTTATATTAAATGTTTTCTTTAACATTTTTCTTCATGCATTTAAAATAAATTCTGCTTTTGACATGCCAATCGCCTTGCATGTATTTATTTCGCAGTGTTGTGGCTTTCTTCTTGATTGTGTTCTGTATTATTACTGAAGATGTATCTATTTCTGCTTAGCAGTAGCAGTGGTTACACCTGATAGAAGCCCACGACCTACATCTGCACCAGCTATTGCTCAGAGCCATGTTACTGAGCCAACTGTACCAGCTGCATCTGTCAGCAAAGAACCAGCAGTTCTTAAAACTGAAAAAGAAACAGTAAAAAAAGAAGTAAAACTTGAAGGAACATTGCAAGATAAAGCCAAAACAGAAGCAGCTGAAGGATTTCAGGTATGATCCACCATTTTTATCATTATTAGTAAGATGGTTTTGTTTGTCTTAGAACAAGATAAGAGATTGATCCCACTCAGAGTTAAACCTCTTGCATAGGCAGCCTGTAAAAGTATTTACCGCTTATTCTGATTTTGTCCTCAGACTAAAGGTGAGAGGGAAAAATACAGATTTCTAAGCACTGCTTTAACAACTTAAGAAAGTTTCAAGCCAAATATTCTTCAGGGTTTCCTTATAACTAAATAATTCTGATTGTGTTGATCAGTGTACTTCCTAAACTTTGCTTTCCAATAGTTTTTTTTTTTTCGTTTTGAGATTTTAAAACCATATTAGTAACTTGTAGTCATTTTTTTTTCATATCTCTAGCTGCAGTTAGTGACAGTTTCATCTACTTTTTGAATCTTCTTTGAAACTATATTCAACTTACATTTTAACTTTCTTACAAAGCTATACTCATTCACTGCACTTCTTGGAATCTTCAAATTCAAATTCTGAGCAAGTTTTTCAGATTGATACTATAAGTGGCAAATTGGATTTCTTGAACAGTCATTGGTATTTTAATCATCAATGATGAATGAATATATTACTCAAAAATAGGTGCTTATAAATTCCCTCTTTCTGTATTTTCACAGAGTTACTTTTACTTATTCAGTGGATTAAATTTTGTCTCTATATTTTTTTACAGAGAGAGAGAGACGCTTTGCCCTAATAATATTTATTGATTGATTTGATTGATTGATTATAGGTGCCAACTCCAAAAGAATCCAAATTTTAAAAAGTCAATACAGGGTTTAAACATATTCCTTCAAAAGTATGACTCACTTGCAGTTAGTTAATTCTTGTCACTGATGCAAGTGAACTCAGAGTTTGGAATGGAGCTACTGATAATGATTATTAAGATAGATTTCTTCCTCATGCAGTATGTCAGTAATAGGAATCAATATGAGGGGATAAGTATTTAGACTCTGATGCTGTGCTAGAAGACATTTTCCAACTATATGCGTTTAACTTTTAATAACACTGTAAAGAACTTGCTTGAGAGTCTCTTCAAGAGAAAATCTAAACGTTATGTAACATCATGCATTGTGTTATGCTTTAAATATGTTAAATGAGATTATTTTAGATATATTATCTTTAAACTGGGATCTAAAGAGTTCGTTATATACATTGTTATTGTGTTAGAAATGTTTTATTATCTTGCTCTGTATCTCAACTCTTACTTTTGATGGCTTTTTTAGTGTATCCTGAAATTCCTTACATATACATTACAGTAATTGGTATGGATGCCTGTGGTTTTTTCTTTCTTCAAATTCTATTCCTCAGATTTTAATAAGAGAAAAAAATAGAAAAACCTATTTATAATCCAGACTTCAGCATGAAAATGTCTAAAACAGTATATCAAAATTTAATTTTGGTTAAATAAATTTATTCTTGGTTTTACTGCAGTTAAATCCCATATTCTTATATTTAAAAATGCACCCGATTGGTTTCAGCGGGATTTACTGACAATGAATGGGTATAGTTCAGTTCAGCTAATATCATATTACAATATTGTATTGAAGTTGATAGTTGAAATATAGTCTGCCATTGCTTATCAGTATTGAGCAATAAGTTAATATTTTAATGTTGGTTTAAAACCTTGGACTGTTTAAAAATGAAAAAAAGTGTGCCCTGTCTATCTCCTATATTTAATCATTGATAATTCACCCAATTCAAACATTTAACTTGCAAGCATCTTTAAGAAACAGAAATGTCTGGCTAAGTCCTTTTTTCTGCATATCGATACTCTTGATGTAATCAGTCCTTACTCTAGTGTGTGAGGATTGCCAAGGCCATATGTGTAAGGACAAAGAAACCCAGAATTAATAGAATTCCCCTGCTGGGACCTTTTTCCTTCACCCTTTCCTCACTTCTATTAGACACTTCATATAAACGGTTTGGTTTAAAACTCTTTTTATTTTTCCTATAGCTCAAATGTATTGTCTCTGTTCATTTTATGCACTTAAGTTTTTTGGATTTCTTTTTCTGACTAGTGCCTTCTTGGCTGCTTCTGTTCTGATGCCTAGTTTCTCATTCAGTTGATGTTCTGATTCTTAATTCCTTGTTCCACACCTGCTACCCTGCCCTGTGCTTGTTCTTTGTCAGACTTTCACATTGGTCAAACCAGCACAATTCCCTCTCAAGCAAATTTCTATGTAACAAATGAATTGCAATCTAATCGGTTTCCTGAAGTATCACCCCAATTCATTTAGAACATTCATTGCAACAAGGATCAAGTTAAATACAAAGTAGAGATTTTCTCATGCTTCTTGTGATTTTTAGAAGCTCATCACATCCAGAAATAACAAGAAGAGAAAAGTTGGAAGAGACCTTTTGAAGTATACAGCTGTATAATGTGTTTTAAACCTCTTTACATATTTATACTTACAATAAAATCGTTTTGAAGAATTCAAAATACTGAATAAAATAACATCAACTATATGGGACTAACAAACTGTCATTATAAAATATGATGTTTATTTATGTCTTCATAAGAGTGCATGTTAATTAATGCATGTTTACACAATGCTTCAAAAACAAATGGTGGTTTTTGAAGCAATGCTATCTCCAAAACTCTACTAACAAAAAAATGTTTTTGCCACTTTATTTTTTAACGTAGGTGGGGAAAACGCATATCAAAATGTCAGTACCCAGCACAAATGGCGACCAAAATCAGGTTTGTCTGGTTAGGTTGCTTTGCTTTCTTTAAAAAGAAAAAGGGGGAAAAGACTAAATCAAATCCAAATAAATGAACCCATTTTTTTTGTCTTTTTTTAAAAAAACTATCATAAAACAGCAGCGTGCAGAAAAAGAGGAAGACCCGATAAGAATGAGGAAGGTTAGCAGTTTTTTTCACTTCCATCAAAACAAAATTATCATATCACTCATGCATATGCAACATATTTAAAAAGACAATATTTTGGTTTCTTCCTGTGCTTTTATCAGTTGATACTTGTTTTTAAATACACACAATCAATTAGCCAAAGAATTAGTAAAAGTTTCCTTAATTATACTTCTTGTTTCCTAATTATTTTGTAAAAAACTTCCTACAAGGAGTCAACAATTCAGGAAGTAAAAAACAAGTATTACTGTAATAGAATAAGACAAATAGATGTACTTAAATTTTGAAATAAGTGTTAACAAATACTTGTTTCAAAAATGTTTTTATGTATGCTAGAGAGCCAGGAGGACATTTCTAGTGTTCTGCATAGCTATATTCTAATTTCTTACTCTTTTTTGGAAATACTGTGTCTCTGTGGAAGAACAGCTTGCAGAATGATGGAGCCATGATAACTGTCTTTTTAAAAAGAACCCATTACATTTTTTTCATCATTCATGAGCAGGACCACACACATTCCTCATATTCTTCACATGATCTTATGATTCCATACACTATACCCCATTCACAAATCATTGCTCTATGAATGTTAGTTTAACCTTTTTCGTTTTCCAATCTGCAAATACCTGCAAGAACAATCTTTTTAATTTTTGTGTGTGTTTTTTTGTTTTGTTTTGTTTTTCCCCCCCCTTTCTTTCACAGAAAAGATCAAAGAGACTAGATGGTGAAAACATTTATATAAGACATAGCAATTTAATGTTGGAGGTTTGTATGACTTTGAAGCTTCTTTCAGTTGCATTTGCCTGGACCTCTACATTCTTTGCTAAACTCTTTTAGCCTCTGCTGTAGCATTTGTGTTTTTGGGGTGAGGTGTATATGCCTGCTCTTTGCATGACTTTGTTAGAAATAGGCTTTTGCATGTTACCATAAACATGACATTATGCAACCATTTTTCTTTATCTGTTTACATTGTTTTCTTGTTATCTGAAAATATGTGATTGGGATCATTTTTCACTTAAATGTATTTCTAAATCAGAGCAACTTGTTGCACAATTATCTATGCATAACAGTCTCCAAGCATGCAATTATATGATTGACACAAATAAACAAGGTTGTCTGAGTTGTATTTTGTGGTGCCATTCTGTAGGTTATAATCCCAGAATAGTTATATAAAATTGAGTTCAATCAGAGTAGCCCTGATCATCAGTTTTAATTTCAAAGTCTTTTCTTTTAAGCTTCTCAGGTTGTCTTCGCTTAATGACTGCTCGTTCAGCAAGTGTTTCAACTTATTCAGGAGCTTGAATAAGTGGACTGGTCCTCATACTATGATGCTAGCTGACTATTTTTTGCCATATCCTACATATGGGTAGCATATCATAAACCATATCTCCTTCTGTCAGTGCTGTTGATGTCAAAACTAGAATGGTTATATATCTTTGTAGAAGGGGAAGGGGAAAACTAAACTTGTCCATAGTTAAAAAGTTCATAGTTAAAAAGTTCAGTTCCACCTCAAGTGTGGCTAGTTTCTCAACAGCATTCAAACAGAATAGTTCCACCCCCCCTTTAAAGTTCCCAATAAGTTGGAAAGGAGGAAGTAGAATGTCATCACTTCATTTCTGATGTGCAAGATTATTTATTTTATTCAAGCTGAATAGACTTGATATTTCTTGTCATTCTAAGTGATAATTTTCAATTTCTTTGGTTACATATATGAGATTGGCAGCCTTGACTGCACTTTTCCCTCACTTGAACATGAGTTTGAATATACTGAACATTCCAATCATATATTACTGATACAGGAAAATGTATGCTTCCTATACTGATTCTGTTTTTGTGTGTTATTATCTTTTAATCACAATTCCAGAAATAGCATAGGAGATTCTTGTGCAGTGTCAATTTTTTTAATGTACTAATTACTTTTTGAATTTTTAATTTCGTGCTGTACAGCTTTGAGTTTGCTACAATGCAGAGCTTGGGGCAAAATTAAAATGGTGTAATCCAGTCAACAACATAAGGTGATCTGGCAAGAGGCAGTGAATATTTCATCTATATCATTTTAATTCCTCTATAAATCAGCTTTTTAATTTCTTATCTACTCTTGGTAGTTTTTTTAAAAAAAATCCAATGCACTTACCTCTTTTTTGTAGTAATTGTATCTCCTGTTACCATATGGGGCTCTAGATAAATATGTAACCCATTGCCACTTTCTAATTTGTTTCACATATTTAGTTTGACCCCTAACTGTGTTGTTGCAGATATTCAAGTTATTACTCTTAAAAATGTTAAACATATACAGTATAAAATGAGGTATAGCCCTTCTTTGGACTGTCCTACTCAAGTATTCTTATATTGAGCCTTGAGTTTGATTTTAAAATAGAGAAAACTGAAAATGTTCCAGAATTTGCAAAGAGGTAAAATCCAAGGATTTTCCAAAACCTGAAAATGTGTGCAATTCAGTTTTATTGTACCAAGCATAGACTTTCCTTGACTGGGAGAGCAAAGGTCAAATAAAAGAAACCTAATGATCTACAAATACATGTAGAGTCAATACGTACCCTCTGTAGTTATATTTGTCAATCTGAGGAATGGCAGCATCAAGATAGAAAGGGTTCCTTGGGCAGTGCAGGCTGTATCCAATCCTTGTAATAAAGTGAGTGGCTGAACATTTGGTGATAAAATATCTTTTCCCAAACATGCATATATGTATCCATAAGACAAACCTTTCCTGCAGATCGATGAGCATATGAGTGATAAACTTCTGAGATATGCATACTAATAAAAATATTAACCTTCTAATCCAAGTTCTGAAATGGTATTGTCCAAATGGGATTTTTGTGTGTATTTTATTAAAGGTAAATCAAGTAACTAATGAAGTCATATTATCCTGGATGATGGTAACCAAAATAATTGGTTGGCTTTTGTTCCTTTTTTGCTCACTAAAATGTTTTTTCCTACCAGTGAATTTTATACACTAGTCAGTTATGTCCATTTAATTCAGCAATCTTATTTCTTGGTATTTTTTTCCTACCGAGGGTTAGGATTAGCAATGATTAACCTTTATGGATTTTGGTAACACCATAATCACAAAAATATATACCACACCAATCAGTTATGTCTGCAGCTGGTAAAAGCTTTTTGGATATAAGATTAACAGCAGGCAAAAAAGGTCCAAGAGCCAAATTGAGTTCCAAAGAGTATCATCAAGCATAATAAAATTTACCACTTGTGAATATAGGATTGAAACTTTAAAGAGGCTAATAAATTTCTACAAGTTTCAGATTTGATTTCCAAAAAGATGCTTTGGAATGTGGAGGCATAAGTATAACTCCCTTTTTCAAGTGCAGAAAATAACCACATCTTTTCCTATGATTGTGTAGCAATTCTGGAAGATAGCCACACTGTCCCAGGAAAAGAAACATTTCCTTTAACGTTGATACACCCAGTCATGTCTGAAGCACGTTCTTGGAATAAACTCCGAATAGTTCTAGACTAATAATATCTGCTGAGTGTTGGAAATGTATAACAGGTAACTGTTCCAAAATTAGGAAATTTGAAAAGATTGCCACTCCTGAAATAATTGGGATTTTATTTTTGTTAGTGTAATTGAAAAAAATAATGTTGAACCTAATTAGTGGGGATATCCTGCACTAACTAGTACATTTTATCTCTCTGAGGGGAAAAAAAAAGAATTGACTAATTTTCTGCAACATCAAGGGGAGCTGTAGATTCGCTTCAGTAAAACTTTCTGTGGTTTGTGTTGGATTTTTTCCCCTAAAATGATAGGATCTAGATAAAACCCAAGAAGAAATAAAGAAGCATCATGCTAACATCAGTGAACTGAAGAAAAACTTCATGGAATCTGTTCCTGAGCCACGACCAAGTGAATGGGACAAACGCCTCTCTACTCATTCTCCTTTCAGAACACTTAACATCAATGGACAGATTCCCACAGGAGTAGAAGGAGTGAGTACTTTATAAAGTACTGATGATTTATTTGGCTTTGATCTTCTAAATAAGACCACCGTTTAATTCTCTAGGAATTGGAATTCCTCTTTGGGGAGAAGGACATAAGCAAAAGTTAAGCAAGGTTGCTTAAGTGTTTCATTACTCATTTCTTGTATATTGAATGAGCTATTAACTTTTTAAAAGCCAATTATCTGTTAGGTTACTGTGGACATTAGGTTTGGAATGTCTTAGCATAAAATATTATAGAAGGAGGGAGGGGGAGTCAGATCCTAGGTCGTTTTCTCCTAGTCCAGAACTTTAACCACTATATCTCAGGTGAATGGTGGGTGATACAGGGCAAGTAATTCCCTCATCCCTAGACTGGGAAATTTAAAAATATCTGTCTACCAACCCACCTGTCAGGACTGAATCAGCATGATAGCTTATGCTCTTTATCCTTCAATAAGAAATCTTTGCAGGGCTTGATTTGGCCTGATAATAATTTATTTATGAAATTTGTAGACTTCCCCAATATATTATGACTCTGGGTGGCTTACAAAATACAAGCTTACAATAAAATATTTTGAAATAGGAAAATCATCAAACACCTGGGGGAAAAACAATCATTAAAAACAAAAACAAAATGTCATAGAATCATCACCAACACTAACCCAGATCTTGAGAATTGAGCCAGGTCTTACGGCTTATTTAAATTGAGTCAGTCTGGGTGAGAGTCTTAATGTTGCTTCAGAAACAGGTGCCATGAGAGAGTAGCACCCCCCTCCCCCCAATATATATAGTAATAAAATACAATGGTACCTTGGTACTCATTAATTGGTTCTGGGAGGTGCAATGAGTACTAAAAATGAGCACCAAATAAACTTAGGTGACTAATGTGTGACCCTTTGTTTCCGCTGGAAAGGGTAGCAAGTTCTAGCTTGTGTGATGAATACCAAATAAATTAGTATCGGGACAAAATGTTCATGTCAAGTTCATTGAGGACCAAATTTGATGAGTTTTAAAATGGTTAAGTACCAAGGTATCACTGAACAATATATAATAATATTTGATAAAAGGGAGGATGGAGATACACACACACACACACACACACACACACTAAATACTCTTGGTACTTACTAGACAGTTTGCATACATGCTAGTTATGTATGTCCTGTTCTGTCCTGGTTATCATTTACTGTCAGTAGAAGGCATTTGGTCTGTTGCTGTAAAGTTGAAGTGGTAATTCTGTATTGTTAAAGTATTATAGTATATTTTTGTATTTTTACAATAATTACTGAATTTGGCATTATACTCTGCAGTGTAATTGTAGATATGTTGGATTAAATCTGAACTAAATATTTATTAAATACTCAAATACTATTTATCAAAATATTTCTATGCTCTGGACCCAGAACATAACATTGCTTTGAACTCTTGATTGGCAGTATATTAAATACATATATACACATATACTTATTTTGGAAACAATGAAAGTCATAGTGCTGCCTTCTGGGATTTTTTTTTTTAACTTCCTAATATATCTGACAACCTTGGGACTTCCTGATGGATTTTAGCTTTTCAAGATGAGCTGTGTTTTGCTGGGTGAAAAAAAGCTGAGTTTAATAATAGCTTTTTGTCTGTGCAATAATAGTGTGCATGATAACTATTATAAAAATACCTGTTGTAGTATGTGAATTTTTTGCAGTTATTATAGATTTAATACTAATTTGTGCTTAATTTAACTTTAGGTTCTGCTGCAATAATCACTATTTACATTTAAAGCATCTAGAATAGTTTTGTTGACTTGCTTTAAAAATATCAAAAAGTATAAGGTATAGGAATGAAGAAATTGAGAGGAAATTTTTTTAAATTTTATTTTGCAACTGATTTCAATTTTTTTGTTGGACATTAGAAGTAGGAATTTGTTATTATTAATAGTCGGAACAGCATGGAAGGCCTTTTCATGATTAGCTTCTGAAGCTCTGATCAGAGTAGAGTTGTTAAAGAATGCTATAAAGTTGGCTTCATAAAATTTTGTTCTGATTATATAAAAGTTGAACAGGAATAATGTATATTTTCTTATATAAAAGGTAATTTGAGGGCATTTTAGAAGAATTGCATTTCTCAGATAACTTCAGTACTTCAGGTAATAAGCATTAGTGGACTTTTCATTAAAATTAATTTTAATACACAGACACCTCCAAGTTTCTTGTTTTCTTAAACAGAAGGATGCATTATAATTACTAGTCATAGAGAATTTCATTTTTTAAATTTAAGTTTTGTAATTTTAATAATCTATAAACTGGGATTTATTTCTGGTTTCGCTGTCTATTTATTCTACTTTGAAATACAACTGCATTTTCCATACTTTGTGTATGTCCAGGTCAAGAAAGCAACATTTCAGCCCTGTGAGAGACAGGTCGCTGGGCCAGAGGTAAAGCTGCTGTTTTGATACATGCTTTTAAAGCAGATTTTTGCTACTGCATTGGTTCTGGCAATCCCAAACTTCAACAGCAGCTGCTAGCATTGTTTGGGCTGCCTTTTCAATAATGTCATCTCTCACAGCCTTCTGATCTAACATTTTAAGTAGATTTGCAATGCTGCAAGCTTTTGCAGTTTTTCAATTGCTTCTTTCAGTGCATGGCTGGTTGACAAAGTTGCATGAAGATGTTGCCATAAAGTTTGAGAGAGAGAAATTATGAAAGTTTAACTCTACCCTGTTCTTTTTATGTTGTCTTCCCCTCTTTTCATGTTCTTCTTTTAATTTTCATGTTACTCTTGCATACTTTATCATTTCATTTTGCTGCCCAGACTTCCAGCTACTTTCTCCCTGATCTTCATTACTTAGGGGTGTGCAAAGACTCTGTCCCCAAATATCAGATTGATCAAAGAAGACTGAATCAGCTGAGAGAGCTTAGAGCTAAATTTTTCCTCTCCTAGACAGCAACTTTCATTTGTCATACATGGAGAAAGAAAATCTACTTCAGAATTCTCCAGCTTAGGCTCAGTTTTCACATAATACTGCAAAATGCTACTCATATTTAAATTCTTTACACACTGATGTCATATACAAATAAAATATAGAATAAAAATATATACTTTTTAATCTTACCGTCAGAAATGCACATTGCATTTTCTTTGTTTTTAGGAAACTGAATATTTTGCACTTGAATCACATGGAGGTAGACATGGTATCTTCCATGACAATACTTTCTTCAGTATTCAAACAATGAACTTTGTGCTATAGTTGAAATATCAGATCTAACAAAGTACAATTTTGAATTTCAGAATAGCATATAAAGTCACAACCAATATTTGTATGATATCAGTTGTGTTTGTAAAGCAACACTATTATTACATAATTCTGTATCCTAAGACTCAAATATCTATTTAAACTATGGATAGAGTTGATTTAGCATGAGTTTCTGCACAAAGAATTATTAGCAATTCAGAATTTGTTTAGTCAATTAAAAAGCAGCTAATTTCTCTCTAAGTTGGTTTCCACTTTGTAAGATTAACAGAGGAGTTAGTTGTATAACTGGTGCAAAACATATTTTGCTGTCATTCTGACAATTTCTATAATTCGTGTCCTTGCATATCCCCAAGTACCATTTTGAGCATTTTTCATCAGTCATTTTGTTCATCTCTCTGTCTTTCTTGATCTCCTACCATGAAAGCAGACACAGGAATGCCCTCTGTTAGTGCAGGATGAAGACTATATTAAAAAGCAAGAGAAAGTTCCTGAGGGAAGTTTACCCCATCAAGCAACTGAAGAAATCCAGGCCAAAATTTCTATTCCAGTTCCCGAGGAGCAGAAAACACTCAAAACATGTCATCTGTATACTAACATTTTTTCTTCTCCACGCTTTCCTTTTCTGATGTCCTTTTTGGTGATCCTTGCAATGACTATGTGGTGGCTAGTTTTTCTGTGATTAAGGAACACACAAAGGCTTATATGAAATATCAACAAGACTCTGCACCCTTCAATTTCTCGCTAAAGCTGCTGTCTTATTCTTTCTATTTTATTTTTGACTATAGTTCAGTTTCTCAGAAATTCTGCTTTTTAAAAGATGTAATTATTCAACACATAATTTGTAAGAGATAGCAGGAAAAATCAGGCAAATTTCATTGTGACAAATTCTAATATTGTGCAAATCCCTAAAACTCAGATTGTGCCAATGATATACTTGTTTGGATGGCTTTTATCATGTTCAAGACTCATGTCTGCATGTATTAATATAAGCTTGCTGTTAAAGTTGGATGTTGAGCATAGGAACTTGTTGGGGGGGAGGGGGGAGCAGTAATTGTTGAAAAAAAGTTCAGTATACCTGAGAATACCTGTGTTATAGACATTTTACAAGTTGGATCTATTTCCAACTTGTTTCATAATGATTTCTATAAACAAAGAAATATACAACTTCCATTTAAAATGAAACAGAATAATTCAGATATGTATATCCAGAGAGCAAATAAACCAATGTGATTTAAATATTATAAAATAGATTTTACATCTTGCTATTAAAACACTTTTCACACCTCTGTCTTAAAGCCATTTCTTTGGGAAAAATAATTTGTGTATCAATATAATGTAGTGGGGTGAATTATGACTTACTTCAAGAACCATCTGGTCAGGGATAAAGTGGCCTTGCAACATATGTTGCCTCACATTAATTGTAAGGGTAAGCTATGTCTGCCTATGCATTAGTAGATGCATATTTGTGAATCAATAATCCTCACTGTATGATTTTATTTAAATGAAAGCTTGTAACTTCTAGTTTCTGTTGAGATTGGGTTAGAATGGTAGAGAGACAATAACTTATTGGAAGCAATAATCTATAATTTAAATTGTTCTCTTATCATTACTTTAATTTTTTTCTAAATTTTTCTGTGCTTTCCTTTTCTCTGGAATATTTACTAAATTGTTTTGTTTTTCCTGCAACACCCCTCTGTATGAAACTAGTATGTTCTAAATGTGTGTGTACTGCTTAATGCATGATGTTCCTTATACTATTCACAAT